CCTTTATCGTGAATAGTTCTTTAACGCGATTATTATTTTTTTTTATTTTTTTTTTTTTATTTTTTTTTTTTTTACATTTTCCTTGCATTTTATTGATCATTTTGCAGTAAACATCAGCTGAGATGTTGTACAAATTATCAACAAAAACAACGACACTGCGTGCGTAAGTTGGCAAAGTTCTATTATTTCTTTATGATTGACTGATTATTATTATTAATGTACTTTAGCAGTATAATTCATAAAATAAGGTGCATTTCATAAGCAATCATCCTTTACCCCTGATCATAGTACTTAAATTAATGAATTGTTTGTTTTTTACACCCTTCTGACACTACTGTTCAAATAACTAACAGCTTGGCTATTCCTGGAACGTTTCCGTTAGTCAGCGAGTTTGTTACCGAGTTGTGCAGCCTTTTTCTTCATTTTCAAACATTTCGCAAGTTTTGCAGCCTTTTTCTTCATTTTCAAACAATTTGCGCTCCATATGAGTGAAAAATTCTCTCGAGAGATGTTAAACAACAACAAACATTTCGATATGCTTAATGATTGATATAATATGTGAATTTATTTACTATTGCTATTCATGTACCATTCTTAATTCAGTGAAGACAGAATATTTATTCAAGAAGTTAGTTTGAAACATCTATTGTAATTTCAGTTAGATTGATATGTTGTACTATTTATATAATGCTTAATATGTCAAAGTTTGAAATAAAATTACAAATTTATTTGCAAATGAAGAAACATGTAATGATACTATAATAGTATCTTTTAAAATGTTTTAGCCTGTGACGAAGGTACATACGGAAATAATTGTACTGGAGGGCAATGAGGGTAATGATACTATAATAGTATCTTTTAAAATGTTTTAGCCTGTGACGAAGGTACATACGGAAATAATTGTACTGGAGGGCCTTGTCCTGAAGGATTCTATGGATTTGGTTGTCTGAGTAAATGTAACTGTACCACCGACCAATACTGTGACAGGAGAACAGGGTGTATAATTTACAATACGGCAAAGGGTGAGAAATTGTTTGTTTCTTGTTATGTCCATTTAGCGTTTCAGTTGAATTGCTTCATTATTATTTAAATTGATCAGATCAATCTGATTTGATCTCATTGAATAAAATCTTTAATAAAAATATAATGGCACTTAGATTTCTCACAGACTTAGATTTCTCACAGGCTTTTTTCTGTCGGATTTCTGTCTGAAAAAATACATGTACTAAAAAATTGATTGACTTGCATAGATGTCTAAAAACAAATTAAGAATTCTAAACAACTGAGGGACGAAAGACAGATACCTCTTGATTAATGAGAAACGATGCACTTACACAATATTTTATGCACATACCTTGGAAATTGCTGAAAACTATAAACATATGTTTAGCAATTGTCAATATCAAAACCTTTTACTTGAAATTTAAAAGCCGACAAATCACTTTTAAAAAAACTAACTTAAGGAATCTATGTCTGAATGTACCGACTAAAAATCAGTTTCTTTCGATGTAAAACTGTTAGATATGAAAAAAAATCTAGAAATCAAAATAATCTTTAAAAAGTAATGTTTCTTGAAATAATCGAGTTGAACACATTGGAGTAGGTTTCTGTAGCTTTTTTCACCCACTCCCATCTCTAAGCCAAAGAATCCCTTCGTGAAACTTTAGGTGAAATACGAAACAAAACCGGTTTTCTCTTCTTCTTTTTTTTCTTTTCTTTTCTTTTCTTTTTTTTTTTTTTTCTTTTTTTTTTTTGGTATAACTATTTACAAAATATTAATCAGTATTGAAACATTGCATTATCCTGTGGCTTAAATATCTATGGCAACATTCAGATATCGTATCATCAGAATACTCCATTGTTCTGGATAGTGGGTTTTGATATTGTAAATCAAAGTATTGATTAAATTTGTCCTCATTGAGAATACTGGTTTTTTATTGGATTAGCATAAACAGTAATACACGATTAAACTTGTATAATATGACTATAAATCACAATGCAAAATGTATGTAATATGCTATTTTGCATTTTCAATTTATAGCAAGATATTTTGTGAATATTAGACTGTTTAAATAAAAACCTTTCCTGTATTAAAATCCTGGATATATAGGTGAAAAAGACATTAAGACAGATGGAATTTGGTTCATCGCAGAGAAGGCTTTATTCGGTGTCATAGGAGTCTTCGTGGGTGGAGGATCAATCATGACTATTATCTTTATCTATGAAAGGTTTTTTTCTACCATCATCATCTAATCTACTCACAATTATAGTCGTGATATTTGAGAATACAGTTAAGCAATATATCTATGCGACATAAATCTACGAAAGAAGTGTAAACATTGTTAATTGAGGAAGAGTACAAACTTAAATATTGAGTTTTCGTTTTACTTGAAAATAAAATAGATAAGTGAAAATTCTAATTTTAATTTTGAATATATTATGTATTTTCCCAAAACTGAAACTCATATTTGTGTTTCTTTTTTTTTTCAGAAGGAAATCTCAACGTGCGTTGAGATACATCGATACAACGTTTCATTCGCAGGTGTATGATCAACCAGTGTATGAAAGGGAATCAGAATTGTATATTATATGTGATTTAGGGGATACTGTTCCTAAAAACGAAACAAGCATAAAAACGAGTATATCTGAGAATAAAAAGCAGGAAAATGATTATCTGGAGATGGGGTGACTGATAAAAATGATTATTTTCAACCATGTTAAGACAATGTATTCATTTTACAAGTCAGTTTAAATATTTTAATGATAAAATATAACTACACGTGCAGACATTTTAACTATGTTCGAAGTGAAATTCTTCTCAATGAATACGTGTATATACAGTCACTATTTTGCAACGTAATGCACATTTAATCCTTCTTTCAAATTAAATACTTGTACAAATCTTAACGTGGATATATGTATATTCATCGGTACAATCAAAGTCAGTTAAAATTTGAAAATTTTGTGCATAAATCATTGTGATCTTGAAAAACAACAAACCGAACAAAACATGACAAACCTCTTTCTAGGAAAACTAGCTATAGTACAAGTATCAGACTGGGTGTGTAATGTGTAATGCAAAATCACATTTGGTTTTAATAAAAGTAATAATAATAAAAGCAGCATCAAATAACGGTTTGCATCGTTCTTCGCCTGTCTTTGCACACAAAAGAAAGTTTATTTATATTTTTTCAACTAGAGTTCACATTATTCGATTTAATGACGTCGCTTGTCTACGAAAGTTTTGGACAACCTCATATATAAGTACATCCCTCCATGCAAAAGATAAGTAACAGTTCTATAAATTTAATTTATACCTTTCAGTTTGTACATTGTGCTCTTCTTTCAAATATTAAAAATATTGGCCGTATTTTAAGAAAATATCAGAAAATAGAATGGAGCTAATTATGCCGTCACAATATATACACTAGCAGGAAAATTACGCTATTTTTTTTGAAGATATATTGTGACAAAGAATCCACGTGATATGCTCCGAAGTGTTCTGTTCACAGAAGCTAAATGTTTTTCCGAGTCTTATATTTCTTACCATGCAAGTTATTTTTTTTTATAACAAGAACAGTCCATTTGTCAGAAATGGTCAAATCTCGGCAATAGGATGGATGGATAAGGATATCTTTACCCAAAATGAGCATAGGGACCAGCACAATCCTAATCCTCTGTCTTGGGAGCGTCGTTTATCCACTGTGGATAAAGTATGGGCGCCTTCTTTTTATCATATTTGATATGTTTAAAATCTAAAGTAAATGATATTTTAGGGACTAAATAATTATAGCCCCGTATGGAAGATTCGGGGGTATATAGTTTTTGCCCTGTCCGTCCGTCTGTCTCTCTGTTTCTCTATTTGTCCGCAAAAACTTTAACATTGTCCGTAACTTCTGATTGGTTGGAGCTATGGTTTTCATATTTCACATGTCTATTTCTTGTGACAAGACCTTTCTTTGGGTACCACCGTATTTGACCTTTTGACCTTGGAGTTTGACCCAGTTTTGCAAAATTTTACCCAACTTTAACCTCGGCCATAACTTTTGAACAATTGATACTAGGGCTTTCATACTTCACATGTGTAATCCTTGTGACAAGACCTTTCCTTAGATACCAACAACTTTGACCCTTTGACCTTGACCTTGGAGTTTGACCTACTTTTGAAAAACTGTAACCTTGGCCATAACTATTGAACTGTTGGTGCTAGGGCTTTCATACTTCAAATATGTAATTCTTGTGCAAGACCTTCCTTTGGATACTAACAATTTTGACCCTTTGACCTTGACCTTGGAGTTTGACCTACTTTTGAAAACACTTTAACATCGGCCATAACTATTGAACGGTTAGTGCTAGGGCTTTCATACTTCACATATGTAATTCTTGTGACGAGACCTTTCTTTTGGGTACCAACATATTTGATTTGCATTTTAGAAAGATTAACCTTTGCTATAAGTTGCCATAGGGGGCATCAGTCTTTCACAAACACATATTGTTCAAACTGTAACTTGGCGATCTTTCATAACAAATTGCTCAACTAAAGACACATCTCTTCCCCAACTTGCTTTCACTGGGCAACAGAACAAACATCATTTTTAACCACCTCCCTTCCTTCACTAAAACATTCAATCCAATTAATGATTGAACTTCTGGCAAGTCAATTGTTTTCTAAAACCTTGTACAAATTATTATATGCTACTCCAAAGGAATTTCCAAGATATACATTAAATTTTGCAACTGTTTTTTGCTCGAGTACGACTGAGTCCGCCATTTTTGTCACACGTCATCTACATGTTGACGTCATTTTCACATTGTGACGTCACAAACATGGAGCAAAACTTTACATAGCATCTTCTATTTATAGAACATGTGTATGACTATATGTGTGCCAAATTTCATTTTGATCTGAATTTTGGTTTTGAAAATATACAATAGTTCGCAAACTTTTTGATCACCCCTCGTACTTCAATAAAAAGCAAATTTTTATTCATATTCCTTTTAATATTTTTTCTCTTTCACATATTGTTTCAGTCATGTGTCTCTTTTTCCATCCATTCCAAACCTGCTTTCAAGTTCAAAATAATTTGAAGGCAATCGTACCAGGGAATAAATATTTTGGTTGCCTCTTAAATTTCTGTGTCCTTTGGATTTTAACAAATTGTTCTGATTTAGAGCATTGTTATTTCCCAAGTCATGCGTAGTATCAGTAAAAACAATTCTTTATGTTCACTTTTTACATATTTCTGTCTCTTTTTTTACTTTTCTCTTTGTTGTACAAATTAATACATACTCCTAGATTATCCGAGAATATGGACAAAGTAACTATCTTAGGACTCTTCTGGTTGACTATTGGCAAAGGGACGAATATGATCATAACTGTCTTCCTCGTCTGTGTAGTTAACTCTGGATACTACATTAATTCTTTTGTTGGGGATAAGCATGTTGTAGTTGTCTGAGGCCCTTGTCATCTGAGAATAGTCTTCTTGCTCCGATTCACGGCTTGCATTGTTTACGACTCGGTTTGTCCCCAATCCTTCATAAAATATTTTTTATAAGTCTTGAAAGGGTGCTATGATAAAACTATTTCAGATGTTTCTTTTTTCCCATAGCCCACAGAAAAAAAGTTAACGTTCTTAATATCATTGCTATAAAAGATTACTTAGAAATTTCAATAATTACCTTTCTTTTTGTTCTAGTATGTGTTTGTATTAACATACTCACTTGTCAAATACTGATGTAGAAACTTTAATCTGTTAATTATAATGAACCATGATGAGAGACATCAACAGTTTCAGTTGTATGAAGATATATAAACAAATTAGAACTTAAATGGAATATTACACACATATATATGTACATTAAATAAAATTAGGTCCTAAATGTATATGCGACAATCTTATTAAATTTCTGAAACAACAATAAAACATGGCTGTATTATTGCTGTCATCAAAAGGTTACCTTCCTGTCAAAGGGTCAGAGACCGTTTACATGTAGAAAACTTGGATGTCAAGAAAATATTAACATATTAAATTGAAAACACACTAACCTTTCATTGTAAAAGAAGACAATGACCACTAAGAAAGATCCGACACTGAGGATTACTGCCATTATAACAGCAACAACTGTACTAATGTATGACCGTTCTTTCTTGTCAGCTATTCCTAAGTTTGAAAGTAAATAAAATAAATAAACAACCCCCCCCCCACACACACACATATATATATATATATATATATATATATATATATATATATATATATATATATATATATATATATATATATATATATATATATATATATATATATATATATATATATATATATATATATATATATATATATATGAAGAATTCCATCATAGAATGAAAACAACAAAACAACTAGAGCGAGTGAGATAATACCTCTTAAAAAGTGGAATTGGATTGGCCATATACTTAGGATGGAGAACTACAGGATTTGTACTACTGCAATGACATGGCACCCAGAAAGAAAAAGTAAAGTAGGCCGGTCAAAAATAACGTGGAGAAGAACAGCGGAACAAGAAAGATTACAGCTAGGTTAGAATAGCTGGCCACCAGCGAGGGCAGCAGCCAAAGGCAGAGGCATGTGGAGACAGTGTATTGGGGCCTTATGTGCCAGCGGGCACGAAGAGGAAAGGTGAGGTGACGTGATGTTTTACAGCATTTTGAATTTGCTTTCATATCAATTGCAAATAGTCTTGCATTCACTGTATCTCAGATTTATAAAAAAAAAAAGAGTTCCTACCCTTTGAAGTTTTGTTAACACACCCTGTTCTCCTGTCACAGTATTGGTCAGATGTACAGCTACATTTACTCTGACATCCAAATCCATAGAAGCCATATTTACATGATCCTCCGGTACAGTTTACTCCATATGTACCTACTTCACAGGCTGTACCATTAAAAGAGTATATTTTAGATGTTTCAAATCTATCAGTAATATACATGTATTTTCCTGTTAATTGCATCTATTTAATCTTGCATTCATAAATTTTTGGGAAATTGGGATAGCTGTTATACGTAAATAATGCATGATTTTAATTTTTTTAGAATAATGTCGAAATATAGTTACATTACAAAGATGTATAACAAACCCAGTCATAAATACAGGGGTTTTGTAGGCGCAATATACATGACGTCATAGTACGAGCTAGTAGTTTTATTGAGAGTTTAAACACACATGCAATGAGGAACCGTAATTCATAGCTGAGCCATGAACATCTATTACGGATCCGAAGTACCCTGAGGATAACATAAATTGTCCAAAACATTTATTCTCATTATCTTAATGTTTCCTATTATATCAGAGTTGCTTTTTTCTATGCAAAGTAAATGTTTGACAATTTTTTGTGAGGTTATTTTCTTGCTTTCCAGCCATGAAGGAGGTGTAAGGATTAGTTTTGATTTCAACGTACTGCAAAATATCAGAAACAATCAGACTTGATCAGAGGGAAGAAATAATATTATCCTCAATATGGATTACTGTACTATCCTTATAAATAAACATTTCCAGAATTTGATATACATCAATGTAAACATTTTCCATGTAATATTGGAGCTAGTGAACTTTAATGATCTAATAACTTCTAGGTCACTGCGTGCCAAAACATAGTGATAATGAGGGGTCGTTTTTGTAACATTTCTATTCGAATATTCGTCTCAACTGAAAATATAAGTAATAAATAACAATGTTAAAAAGTTCACTGGGAAATGAACTTGGTTGGTACGTGGTCACAGGATTTGATCACGTGACCAACCAAGTTCATTTCCCAGTGAAATTTTTAACAGAATTATTCATTGTTAAGTAATGTGGAATTGCAGCAAAAACGTAAATGCAGAAAAAGTCGAATTCACATTTTTCTGTCATGAAAAATTAAATCGAAAATCATGATAATCATTAGATTATCAGACTTATAATTCATAAAGATACGTGTAAACTGTGTCATTTATGAGGCGCCGTTTTGGTATTTATTGCCATTTAGTGATATCACCTAATCGAATAGGTGATATCACCCATTCGAATAGGTGATATCACCTATTCGAATAAGTGATGTCACTCACTCAAATTGAATAGATGATATCACTTGTTCGAGGAGGCGATATCACTTATTCGAATAGGTGATATCACCTTTTCGAATTGGTGATATCACCTATTGGAAATGAATAGGTGATATCACCTATTCGAATATGCAGGTGAGTTAAGGCTAGGTATAGATAATCTAATTAAAATGCCTAAGGACTGTATCTATTATATAGAGAAAGTTAAAACTTATTGTCTAATACATATTTGGTACCCATGACATGAGATAGCCAGTACATTATGACGTCATATAGTGACGTCATTGTTCTTTACTACACAAGATTATAATGAACATCAACAAAAGTGCTTCGGCGCAAGGGCACTATTTTATTTTACTGAAACAAGGTATATTTAGAAGCAAAATATTCCAAAGTTCGCTGATATTGCTGTACAAATATCAACAGCTCAATTGTATAATTTCTGTTTGTAAAGTTTTAAGTTGAATAAGGGTAAAAATGTACAGTCCGGTATAAGTTTCCTCAAATTCCGATCAAATGAGAAAATGCCTAGGATTTATGCAGCAGTTTTATTAATCTTTAGAATTTTCTTTTTAGCATCATACAATTTTTATGTAAAAATAAAAAGGGTCATCCCTTGCGCCGAAGCTCTTTTGTTGATGTGTTTTATTACCTCCAGTAGGTAAGATTAGAGACGTCATAATATGACGCTATAATGTGTACTTGCTATAACATATCATGAGAACTAAGTATGCATAAGAAAATAAATCAAAACTCACTGAATAATAAATATACATCTTAAGCGTTTTTATTAGCTCATTTGCATAGAAACGCCTATACCTAGTCTTAACTCACATGCATAGGCGATATCACCTATTCGTGCTAAATAAGTGATATCACCTATTCGAATAAGTGATATCACCTATTTACATTTCTTTCAACAATAAATAATGAATGCTCCCTTCCTCAAGACTATCTAGTATTCCATTGGAACCAAACAAATTCGGACTGTCCGGTTTTCCCCTGTATTTTAGTCCGAGACATGTTAAATACCTTATGTTTCAGATCCCTGTAAAGTTATATAAATTTTATAAATTATACCCAGCTGGGGTACACCAGAGTGGCATACCTTTCTCTCTTTATAATGTAAAGTAGGGCATTTTCCGTATGGAACAGTTATTATGCGTTTTTCATGATTCTTCCTTTAGTGTACATGACAGATAAGTGTAATAAATATAACTTGTGAGCAAATTATACTATAACTTCTACTGGGGTGCTTAAAACTAAATGCGAAGCTAAATCCATTGTCTCCAAGAACGCAAAGTTATAAATAGAAAGTGAAAGTAAATGAGAGTCATGGAAGCAGTTGTTATTTCATAAATAATTTGAATAGGTGATATCACCTATTCGATTAAGTTATATCACCTATTCAAGTTGATAAGGTGATATCACTTATTCGAATAGGTGACATTACCTATTTGAATTGGTGATATCACCTATTTAATTTGAATAGGTTATATCACCTATTCGAATAAGTGATATCACATATTCAAAAGGAATAGGTGATATCACCTATTTGAAGAGGTGATATCACCTATTCGAATAGGAGATGTCACCAATTCAAATCAAATAGGTGATATCACCAATTCGAATAGGTGATATCACTCATTCGAATAGGTGATATCACCTATTAAAATAGGTGATATTACCTGAAGCTGAATAGGTGATAACACTGATTTGAATAGGTGATATTACCAATTGAATGGGTGAAATCACTTATTTCAATAGGTGATATCACTTTTTGGCAGTAAATACCAAGACGGCGCCTCATAGTCATTACACATTGAATCTATTAATTCCAGACATATCACTGTTGTATAATTACATCTATTGAATATTTTCTCTTTTATTTCTTTAGAAAACCATAGTCGTTTATCAGTCAGTAAACACCGCTAAGCATATCACCTGTACAGATTTCTTGAGCAGTGACTCTTCAATCAATGAAATTAAACGTTCAATGTTGTACATATCAATAAGGTAATATTTAATCTATTTAATCCTACTTTAGATGATTATGTAAGTATTTTTTTCTGCAACATTTGCAACATTAATTCTTATCCTAACAACCAAAGAAAACATTTTATTGTTTAATTTATTGTATGTACCGATCAAAATTGCAGGGGAGGGTGAGTGTATAAAGGTGATGTTGTAAGAATTTGAAATTAATGCTACTACTCTTTCATCTCTTTCGGAAATTCCCCAGCGTTGCCTTTAGTGATGAAGCGAGAGAACGATTTATTCTGATTGTATATCAAAGAATATCGTTGGTTGGTATGTTATATCTGAATGATATTTACTTCGATTATTTTTCAGGAAGAATATACGGCTAAATTTCCATGATACTGGTTCAATGGCTCTGTTGAAGAAATGTACACAGAAGACAGCAGAAAATTAAATGCTATTAAGACAGATGGCTTTGCTTGGAAAAGGTTACTTAGTCTTGTCGTTAGAAATTTTAACTAAAGATTCAAAATAAAATAAGATGATTTAAAAATACAGATAAGAGCTCAGTTAATTGTTTTCATTACATGTATGTACAGGAAATCAAGATGTATATAAGGAAGTATATTTCACAATTAGTACATACTATTATTTCACTGAAAGTGAAAGTTTGTAGCGTCTAGTATCTCTAGATATAAAAAAAAATATATAACCATCAACTTACGTATGCAGAAGCCTTTATCTTGTCGATAATTTGTACAACAACGTTGTGTTCCACTGAAGTTAAAATTTATAATTTAATAAAAGTAATTTTTCACTTTCGCTTAAGTGCTTAATTCAAAGATTTTAATATCAATTTTTTTTTTGTAATATATACGCACTCCTTCTTGCAAACACCGAGTCCACCAGAGAGTCCGGTGATCAGATAAACAAAATATAACTGTAAAGCAAATATTACATAACAAAGTTGAATCAGCTTCATAGTCACTGTTCACATAAACTTGTAGTGATAAATACATGGATATGGATAACAATACTAAATAACCATTTCCTTCCGATATCTTTTACGACAGGGAAATTTAATAAAATTATACGATCATAAATTTCAGTTAAATTTAAAAAAAGATTCTCAGAGGCATTTACTAATTATTCCAAATTAAAATTTCCGTGAATGAAAATTAGTGACTAGAATGGGTTTTAACTTTACTGTCCTCTAAAAAAAGTTTGAAAACATTTCAAAACTGAAATATAACCATACCTTTACTCAGAAAAAATATAATTATATCTGTAAAGGCATACAAATTTATTTACGTATGCAGATCCAGATATGTTTTTCGCTCTCGGCTGCATCAGCATCAGCAGCTTTGGTAAATCGTTGTCAAAAAACTCCGCCTCCACCAGTTTTTTCTTTCATTCTTTGATTGTTATGATCACTTCTAAAACTGAAACTGGTTTATATTCCAATGGTCTAACAGCTTTTTATACCCTCGCAATGGAGTTAGAGGGGATAAAGCAACGCACTTAAGAATGTGTGGGTGAGTGGAGGAGTAAATCATTTTGTGTATCTATCTATCTATCTATCTATCTATCTATCTATCTATCTATCTATATATATATATATATATATATATATATATATATATATATATATATATATATATATATATATATATATATATATATATATATATATTAGGAATGTCAATTTTACTTGGATAGCTTAGTCGAATAGTCGGAGGCTTTAGTCGAGCGATAGTCGAGTACTCGTGGAAAATTTAATTAGTCATGCCATTTCCACTATTTGTCTTTTACTGGCTGCTAGTTCAATATTTAATGTAAGCTATCATCATTAAAGAACGAATTTCCGAATCGTTGACATTTATATAGACCAAGTAATAAATACACATATACATGTATGTATCCAATGTGTTTGATTTCAAATATAATATCTATTGCACATTTTATCTAAATAAAGGATTGTAATTATTATATCAAACGCTCGTATTTGTCCTTTCTATTCAGGATGCTAGTACATGTACCTGTCATTAAATAATCGATCACCTGAGGCCATTTGATCGTGTCTATTCAGTGACCCATGACTGGTAAACGGTTAAAGCGTGCCTCTTGTGAAAATATATAGAGAGCTTCCGATAAATTTTAATTAGAGATTTTGTGCAAACAATCAATACAATCTTGAAATGACTGATATTAACATCAGAAAGAAAAATCATTAAATTACGCTCCTAACTTTCCCAATTTACATACATGTACACATATGTAATAGCTGTTTAATTATTATTAATTAATTAATAGTTGCATTAGACGTACGTGATCTTATTGCATTGCGGGTTGGAAATTTATAATTTTGAGCTATCAAACCACCAAACAGTTCTTGAAAGCCCTCTCAATTTACAACACTAAGAGGTAGACAAACCTTTAAAATCATGTTTGTGAAAGTAATACTTTTTTGGTTCTGCACATTGGGATTTTTGCCAAGAATTTTGCGAAGAATTTAGGAAAGTTTCGATATGTTTGGCAGATGTCGACATGAAATAATTATGTTACAACATATATGATGTTCCACCCCAGAATGCAATTTCAGTTTCACATAACGTACATTTAACTGTTTTTCAACTGTGACATCTTTTAAAGTACATCTAGACTATGGATTTTGGAGGCATGTTTGCCGACCAACAATCGACACGCGAATGATTTCCTTTAAACAGTTAACTTAAAACATTAGGATGACATCACCTTTTTTCCTTTTAATACTTTCTATTCCTTGAAAGGCCAAAGACAGTCCAATAAGTTACCTGTAACCGTCCAATAATTAAAAAAATATCTGTCCATTGTTAAAAATAATGGACAGTATCTAATAACTTATTGGACGGCTACAGGTACATGTAAGTTATTGGATTAAGAAAACACAGACACAGTTAAATATATATTTGAAGTAATAAATCCAGCATGTTTCACAATGTAATGAAATATATATTCCGAGTCACAGAAACAAAAATTGAAAATTATGAAATGTATACTAGTATTCCAAAATCTCAGTGAATGTCAAAACTTAAATTTGACGGAAATATCTCCGAATTCTGTGTAACTTGCACCAACAAGACACTCGGGGATATCACTTCTCTTTTTTTAATACCTTCCTGTCAAGAATCAATCGCTACTTCGTTCTCACTAGGACTCCGAATAATTTTGCTCACTTTCTGCAGGAGCACATCGTTTCTTCTGTTATAAGAATGCAGGGTATTTGGTCAATAGCCTTTTCCCGATTCGTTTCTGACTTCAGCGATGAAAAAAATAATAATTTTGTTCATTTCTTTATCACCCAATATCGTGATGTCCTTAAGCATGAAAACATTAACGTGGGTACTGTGCAACATTCTCCCTGACAGTTAAATAATAATCACTGCCCATTTACATTTATCCGTTTTCTGCAAAAAGCCTTTTCTAAATCCTCTAAATATTGTTGATTTAATTAAGCCTTTCCTAAAAGTTGAGAAATATTTGAAGAAAAAAAAAAACGTCCACTTGGAGTTCAAAGTTCATTATCTTGACAATCCTAAGCTCAAAATCCAAAATTCACTTCAAAATGACATTTGTATTTATTAGTAGATTGCTCATCCTATCTGAATATGATTCGCATCAGATATTAATATGCTTTCTCCCTCGGAAGAAGACATGCTTTTAACATTGACAATCGCAAGAAAATGATTCTGGAATCTCATAGCATTGTGGTTAAATATTCTTAAATCGTTTATTTAAAATTAGCACTTACATGTACCTGTAACTGTCCACTAAGTTAGCAATTACAATGAATTTAAGTTTCTTTTGATTGTCAGTAACCTTTACCTGAGAGAGTCCAGTAAGTAGACAATGCTTACTTAATACAATGGATGAGAGACAATTCTAAGAGAGTACATTATAAACACAATAGGGTAAATTTTTTAAGTATTTTATAGGCCTCAAACTGTCCATTCTTTGAGAAGAAAGAACTATTGTCGGGCCTAACGGCCCTCCAACAGTTCTTTCTTCTCACAGAATGGACAGTTTTCGGCCTATAACCTTTACTTTGTCCGGTTAAGCCTTACTTTACCCTGAGTTTTACTCACCAGTACACTGATACGTTAAGAAATGAATTATACAGATCCAACTTTATTACCTGGATTTTAAGATTTTTATATTAAGAAGCAAATTCTAAACGAATAATCGAGTAAAAAAATTTTAGTCGATAGTCGCTATGATCAAACGATAGTGGAGTACTCGAATATTCGTTGACATCCCTAATATAGAGCCTCTATATTTACATTATATTTCTGATGTCTTGCCACAAATTTTTGTCATTCAACGATCATTTTTGAAGAAACGAATTTTGCATTATGTTTTGACTTCAAGTACATTACAATGGAGATATTCTTGCTCATCCGTGTGGTAGTTCATGAGAACGCGAACTGTTTTCTAATTTGCAAAGAATCTTAAGGGAAAATATTTGGAAATGTAAATATTCTTGTATAAACAAAGAAAACATTTTTTTGTTTAAATATAAAAGAATTTATACTGTTCCCCTCCTTATATGCCTTTTTAATGCCTGCTTCTTTTTTTTAATTTTATATAATTATACAACAAATTTAACAACAAATAATAGAGTTCTTGATGAAATATGATTTGTGTAACTGATCAATGTTCTTGTGTTTATCAAAGAAAATAAAGATAATCATATATACCGTAAAAATAGTTAATGAGAATACAAGCAGTTTGCTTAAACAACCATGTTATCAAATCCTAAATTCCTACAAATATTATTTCCTTAAATTCACTTTAAACACACTTTGTGGCAAGTCCAACGCTAGAATCCTGCGATTAATTACTCCTAATAAACTAAGAGATTGTAATCATAACAAATATTCAAAGAGAGATCAGACAAGATAGAATTTTTTCGAAGAACTTCATGCAATACGAAATATGAAAAAGTTAAAAGATACTTCCGGTAGAGAAATTCATATTCCTCCACGAATCACATCTGAAGTTTATATGTAGCGATGCAGAGCCTGCAAAATATTGCCGATTGCTTTAAGGTTAGAAATGTTTATGAGCCTGCGCTCGGCCTTTTCATTTCCCATCTTGTTTCATTTCTGCAAATGATTAAAAAAATCAAGTGTAATCAGCCATGTTTTGTATCAATCGAAGAAATCGAAGTATTGAAATAGTATATAGTGAACATAAATTCAAATTAAATGAATCTGTTAAAAAATTATTGTCTTATCCTTCAAAAATATTGTTATGCAAAACAACAGAAATTTTATATTCATTACTTGGTTAAATAGATAGCATGTTAAAAAAATCATAACTAGGAGTACGCAGTTTCGATTCTTTATTGTATATCTGCAAGAAAATGAGCATGGAATTGTTAAGAGTGGGATCTACAATCGATCAAAATCTTCGAATTCAGACCACGAGCACGTCCACCAGGCCCCTGGGCTCGCCAAGTGCAACCAGCACGCAATTTCAAAAATTCTTTTTTAGTGACAGATGATTTAAAAAAAAAAAAAACAGACACGTTATGATAGCATCAAAAACGCATTCCCACTATCTTCTTTTTTTTTCTTATCAACGCATTCATACCATCATTTAATCAATACCACTACTATCATAATAGCAAAAGCCCAAGAAAGTGAATGACTTCGGCTTTGAATCAACAAGAATTTTCATTCATGAAACAAGACCTGAATGCACGAAAAGACATACGTCTTCTGCAACTTTACAATAAAGATTCGAA